GTGACCATCATTCTACTCTCTATCATCGTGAGAATGATTTTTTTTTTTTTTTTTTTTATCTGTAAAATTGTTGTCATTTGAGACAACAGATTTTCTAAGATCATTGAGAGTAATCTAAGATCATTGCATATGAATGTACTACTTGTACATGGCACTCAACTGCTATGTACATGGTAATTTGGCCATTGTCCAGTTTGCACTTCGAATATCCTTTTGTTGCACAATAGTGAAGATTACGATGAAATTCACTTAACGAATACTCTTTTTTTATGGACATGATTTTTTTTCTTTTGCAAAATTATTTTTCTTCATATAATCATAGTATTTTGTAACTAAAATAAGCAAAATATATTAACTGTTCAAAGTATTTTATGAATATTAAAATAATGTATTAAATTGTATATATTTCTTGAAAAAAATTATATTATTCTTGAAAAAAATTTTGAAGTAAGTTTTTAGTTAAAATTAATTATTAAAAGCTGCTAATCAAACTCAAGTCTCACAACATTAAAATATACACTTCAGGCTTTAAAGTGATATTAATTACGCCATATTTAAAGTTCGAAATTTCACCATTTTGCTTAACTTTTTGTGGGATACACTATTGTGGAATTTTCTGCAACTACAAAATTTTTTATAACATTTTAGAAATGCTTTTGAACAGATTTCCGGTTTTTTGACTGCATTAATTTTTATCTTTAAGTATTAAATAGTGCTGCACTAACAGACTATTTGATTTTTTGTACATTTACTAGCATAATTACATATATTAAAGTTGAATGACGTCATTGTGTAAAATTCTGAGTTGTACTATAATTCAAACATAGAACATAGGTAAATAAAACTGTAGAAATATTTTAATTTTTTTAAAGCTACTCACCATTAAACATTTCACTCACTAAATAAAAAAAAATATGTTAAAATAACTCAAGTTATTGACATTAAATCCAGCATTTCAAAAAAAGTATTTCTTAAAAAATAATTGAAATTACTTTACTTTTATTATCTTTAAATATGTTAACTTTTCAAATTTCAAAGTTTAAGATTTGTGAGCTTAGTCACTACTAGCTCGATTCCAAGATTTTCTACCATATTAAACGAAGAGTTTGTTCTTTAAAAATAATTATAGCCTGTATACCAACTAGTCTATTTTAGCTAACATTTCTTTGCTGGATTTGAAGTTCATTCATGGTATAAAAGGTAATCATTTTGGTCAGTATATCAAATGCAAAGAGAAAGGTAAAAACAAACTACACTAAGCTATACTCTGTGGCACAACAGCCAGCCCATGGAGGGCCATGGCCCACTGCGCCCATCTTAGTTTTCTTCACCTTGGGCTCTTGGGTGCAAGAACAGTTGTTCCGGTGGTGTAGCGGAACCCCCAGTGTTTAGTTCCCGAGCACGCTTGGTAATCATTTTATTAACCCACTGAAAGGATAAAAGGTTGAGTCAACTTTTCCAGGCCCGAGAACGAAACGAAGGACCTGTGACACGAAAGAGCGAAAAACAAATTTTCTTTTTAAATATTTGGGGACTTATTTCGTAACCTTATCAAAAATGAAGTTTAAATTATAAACACATTAAGGCAACAATCCACTGAATCGAGGCAACAATCCACTAGTCCGAGAAAAACTGTTGAAGATCAATAATATTTGGTTTGGTAGCACCTTTCTAATGATTTGAAGTTATGAAATCACACTGACTTAATATTATTACTTTTACTGCATTTTTTAGATAAACTTGATTTTACCATTAAACATCATTTCAGTCTTCTGTCTCTCTTTTGACGTCATAATAACTATAGATTTCAGGGAAAATGGAAAAAAAATTTCCTTTGAAATGCAGTTCAAAAATCATTTTTTAGAATTAAGAATTAATTTTAAAGTTCAAGAAAAAAGTTTACATGGTTCATCACATTATTTAAAAGCAAATGAATTTTACTCACATTTGTTTAACGTGGCTCCTAAACCATCTAAAAATAAAACATTTCAACAGAAATTAAATCTAAATAACAACAGTAATATATGTAAATATTGATGCAATAGTCTTGCACAGAAAAGTTTAAATATTTCAAGTATCTCCTGCACCGTTAAGTGGAGTTACTTTGGATATGTACAAATTTTTTTAGAATTTAGAATTTTCTTTTGAGTTCGAGAAAATTTTTTACGTGCTTCATCACATCATTTACAAGCAAATTAATTTACTCACCATTGTCTAACACTCTTCCAAAAACAGCTAAAAATAAAATATTTCAACATAAATTAAATCAAAATAACCACAGTATAATTTTCGCAAATCAGGGATACTGCAGTCTGGCAAGGAAAAGTTTAAATATTTCTAGTACTTCCCATACTGTAAAGTGGAGTTAATTTTGACATGGGTCACAATTGAAGTTTTTTTGTTCAGTTTAAAATTCAAAGTACAAAATTTTACACTTTAAATCTGCTAAATATTTTTAATGTGGTAAGTAAAACGCTATTCTAAATAAGGTAAAAAATGCATAAAAATTAATTCTTTTCCTCAAAGGCATCAACTTGGGAGGAGAAATGCTGATTGTCTTCAACGTTATAGTCTTCAAAATGATAGAAATATCATTAAAATAAATAGTAAAACTTGATATCGAAAACAGACAATAAAGTTTAAAAAGACTTAAAAATATTTCTTTTTTTTTATTTGTTACTGGAAAACGAAAGAAAATTTTAAAACACAACAGAAAAATTTTTTATTGTTGTTACCCATTGGCAAAATGGGTCTTGGTTTGGAATTGGTGGCGTCTACACACTTTTCAACTGTGTTCAAGAGTAACAGTAATTAGTGCGCATGCGTCGTTATTGCATGTGTTGCTATGGCGACCGCTGTTGTTTATTTACTTTTTTCAGTCGCTGGGAGAAAATGAACTCAAGAAAACGTAAGTGCACCAAAAGTAGCCTCATCTGTCACAAAATGATTCCATTTTATACTACTTCCTTCCTTCATTTAATTAATAATGATAATAAATATTGCTAAATTTTTATTTATAAGATAAATTTATATTAATAGATATTAATCCATGATACAGTGAATCTACTTAGCGATTCTTAAATTCCTTAAAAAAACTTTATAATGAAGGAGCAAGATTATAAGTTCCCACAAAAGTGACGGTTTCATTATTTCCTAGTAACATATTATATCTCGTCATTGATTAGTTTTATATTTATTGCCTGCGATTTCAAAATATTTTAAATTTAAAACGGATTATGGAAAGTTTTCATTTTTTAAGTAGGTACCATTTATATCTTTAGTTCTGACACAATTTAGTTTACAGTCCCTGGCTACATTATTAGAAGCATTATAAAATTCTATGTGAGATCTTAATTATCGGGTGATACTATACAGCCTTATAGTTTTTACGCGGCTGAAACCGGTTTGCATTTATATACGTTCGTGTATTAATTGTATAACATTGTAATGCAGTACGCTAAAAATAAGTACATATTGGAAGTACATATATAAAAAATTTCCTGAATAAAAACCCGTTACATTTATGTTAAAATATGAAAGTATTGCATATAGGCAGGTGCAAAACACACAATTATTAAAAAACTATAATGCGTCTAATAATTTGGTCAAATTATTGTAATATACTAATATATTACCTGAAGTAAATGTTATTCTATATTTATATAATACTAGCCACCTAAGGCGGCCAGCTGTCCGCCACTCTGAAGGTTTTCACAAATAAAGTTTTTTAAAACATAGCAGGAAATCTGAAGATTAGTGGACAATTAAAGTGTTCCTAGCTTACAATTTTGTCTTCATATCCAGTTCTGCTGCAGATGTGTTATAGCTCTTGAGGATGTTTGAAATTATATAGCTACAACGCTTAAGAAAAAAAAAACTAAAATGCTAAATACATGAAAAGAACACGAAAACGAATAAATTTTTTATGGTATCAATTTCTATTTCTATATAATTTTTTATAGTATCAAATTCTATTTCTATATCTGTTACGTCAAGCACTCAGGTATTATAATTTGATCTAGTTGTGCTTGTATAATTTTGATCTAGTTGCGCTTTCTACGTCATTTTGTTAACATCGTTTGGTTTGTTATTTAACATCGTTTGGTTTGTTATTTCTAAGTTAACTTTCAAAAAATTGGCTGGCATCAGCATTTTTATTCTTTAAGTTGTTTATTTTTTCTTTTGGAATTCGTTCCTTTTTAGCGAAATGTTTTTCAACCTAATCGAATTCTTTGCCGACTGTTCTCTGTATATATAAAGAAAATAAAGTAAATATTTTTAAAGTGTTGTGAAAAGAATTTTTAGTTGTACAAAGTACTACAATATCGCTATAAAAATTATCGTCTTCGCTTAAAAAAAAAAAAATAGAGCGTGGAAAGAAGAAGAAAAACTTATTATAACAATTATGAACAGCGACAAATATATCAAAGCGAAGCGTTCTATTTACGTATCGAATATGTTGCCACATTTTTAATACAAAAGTTAAACTTTTCTCCACTTTAATAAATGTAAACTAATGCGAACTTTACAATTAAATTATTAATTCCTTCGTATATTATTGGTTTAAGTTGTCGAAAATTAATATTTCAATTGTAAGGTTCGCATTAGCATACATTTATAAGAGTGGGGAAAAGTATATGCATTTTTTAATAGTTTTTTGAATATGGCTCTTTGAAGACGAAAAAGCAGACGAAAAGCATAGACTTACAAAATGACTGATAACTAAATAACTAATCCAAATTTTTGAAAAAGAAAAAAAATACTTCTTCATTATGTCAAAACACAATTATGTGCCGAGTTTCGTGCCTGGGCGAGGCTTCTGGGGCGATATATTGTGATTACAGACACAGACACACACACACACACACACAGCCGCTTTTATTATTATGTATAGATATAGATTAATTTATTCAGTCATCAAATTTACACTACGTATCATCTAATTTAACCAATTGATACACGAACGCAAACAAATAAAAACCGACTTCAGCCACATAAAAGCAATAAGGCTGTATAGTATTACCTGATAATTAAGGTTTTACATAAAATCTTATAGTGAGTCTAATGATTTGGTCAGGGACTGTACCTAATACCATAGTCCAGAGCTTTCTTAGAAATTATTTTTGGATGAATAGAAAATCCCAGAATATCTTTGAAAAATCATCAGTAAAAACTCTAAGTTAGGTTTTTTTTGATGAACAAGTGCTTCGAGCATTCTGCCCAGCGACTCCACGTACAGTATTATTGTCATGATATGCTTCGAAGAAATGCCATTCCAGTCATTAATTTCATTTTCCAAGGCTCTATATATGTCCTAAAAATATATATATATATATTTCTGAAATGTTCTTAAACGTTTATATTTAACAAAATATTATTGTACAATTTAATTTAACAAATTAGACCATAAAAATCATTTTAAGAATTTGGAATATATTTTTGAGATCAAGAAATACTCTATCAATTCCTAGCAGCAAAATTACTTGGGACCTCATTGGTCCAATATTGACGTGGCTCAAAAAAGGCTCAAAGGACTGATATTTTTCTGATATGGACCCTATATAGAACTGTTCAATTCACTCGATATTTTACTGCCACTTTACAACCAATATCAAAATATCAAAACTATATAGAATTGTCAGATTCACCAGATATTTTATAATCATTATTCAGCCAATATAAGCTCTATATAGGCCAATATAGACATTGCATAGGACCAATATTAAAAAATATAGGCATCACAATATTGGTTCCTCGGAGTATGTTCATGTAGGATCCATATTGAGCCAATTTCGAGCCCAACTGGGGCCAAGATATATTTGTTGCTGGGGCTGGTTCATCACATAGTTTACAAAGTTTAACATTTGCTCACAACCATCTAATGAGGCTCCTAAACAATCAAAAAATGAAATATTTAAGCATAAATAAAATAGAAAAAGTGACAGTAACTTATGTAAATCAGCGATACAATAAAATTGCATGCGTAATTTTAAATGTAGTTTTTTATGTATCACAAGGTGGGGTTAGTTTGGGACACTTTTTTAATTTTTTTCCTCTGGATATTCCGTTTGAATTACAAAGTAGAGCTTTACAAATGAGAACATATAATTAAACATCTGATATCAAAGGTGGGTTTAATCACAATCCTTCAGAGTTATCAAAAGTTTATTACTTCGAATGTAATGAATGTCAAACTTTCCCATGTTGCTCGAATTTAAGATTTTCTACCTCTGTGAAACAAAATATTAAACAAAGTGGTTACTCTTCAAGAATTAATATAATGCTGTCGAGTTCATTTTAGTTAAAATTTCATTGCTAGATTTGTAATTTATTTACCGTGGAATGCGGAGCTAAAAAAAATCCAAACCTGTTTGAAATACTCTAATATGTATTGAAAATTTAAATATATACGAAACAACTCCAATACTCATTAGGTTATTGCAATATTAAGAATTTATGCTTTCAATGAAAGTTTTGTGCATAAAAGAAATATTAACACTTAAGAATATCTGTAATAAAATATACAGTCCCTGGCCAAATTAGTAGGCACACTATAAGGCTCTACGTAAAATCTTAATTATTAGGTGATACTATACAGGCTTTTACGCGACTGAAACCGGTTTGTACTTGTTTACGTTCGTGTATCAATCGGTTAAATTATACTACATATAATATAAATTCGACGATTGGAAAAATTATCCAGTATAATATTTAAATATGGAGTAATTATTATACCAGGTATTATGTTAGTATATTATAATAATTAGACCAAATTATTAGACGCACTGCAGTTTTTTAATAATTACATGCTTTGCGCAAGTTTATATGCAATACTTTTATAGCTAAACATACATGTAAAGGAATTTTATTCAGGAGATTTTTTATATACTTCCTATTTGTATTTATTTTTAACGTATGGTATTCTAATGTTTGCAAACTGATACACGAATATTAACAAATATATACCGGTATTAGCCGCGTAAAAACAATAATTCTGTATAGTAATACTTGATAATTAAGCTTTTATATTTAATTTTATAGTGAGTCTAATACTTTGGCCAGGGACTGTATATCAATATTGCCAATTATTGAAACGACATTGCGCAGCCCCATTTTGTTTGCTTCCTTATTAACAACAGCAATCAATTAACAAAGCACAATCAATAAAATTGATATCAAAAACTCGTAAAAAATATACGTCTTTCTGTTCGAATTTTAAGAAACCGAGTAAAGAA